CTACGTCTCCTCGACCTCGAGGCCAAGTCCCCGCTGTACTCCCACTTCCTCGACACGATGAAGGGTCTCGCCACCTTCCGTGCCTTTGGCTGGGTGACACCGGGCGTGGCCCTCAACGACCGCCTGGTCGACCGCTCGCAGCGCCCAGCGTATCTGCTGGCCATGATCCAGCGCTGGCTGACGTTCTCCATCCAGTCTGTCATGGTCATCTTATCCACGACAGTTGTGACGCTGGCTACGCAGCTGCGCTCCAACACGGCGTTCACGGGCGCCAGCATGATTCTGCTCATGAACTTTGGCGACGTGCTGTCCTTTATCATGTACGCGTACACGATGCTTGAGACGTCGCTGGGCGCCATCAGCCGCCTCAAGACGTTTAGCGAGAACGTGCACGGCGAGTCGTACGACGACAACGCGGACGAGAACGTCAAACCGCCCTTGGCGTGGCCGACACGCGGCACCATCCGACTGAACAACGTGTCGGCGACATATGAGTGAGTACGACGGTGTTTGTGCTGAAATGGAGATGAAAAGTGCCTACTGACCATACACAGCGACACATCGAGCGAGTCGAGCGACATGAGCAAACCGCCTCAGATGGTTCTCGACAACATTAGCCTGACGTTGCGTGCGGGTGCCAAGGTGGCCATCTGTGGCCGCACAGGCAGGTGAGCGGCCCATCCAAAGCCATGCTCGTGTGAAAAGACGCCCCTTCTGCTCACACACTTTTTAGTGGGAAGTCTTCCTTTATTCTGCTGCTCCTGCGTCTTCTGGATCCGTACGCACCAGGAGACGGTGGTGTCCCCGAGAAGGATGTGTCGGCATCAGACCAGGATACGAGTCTGGCTGCCGATGGCGTCTTCATCGACGGCCTGCCCCTGCACAACATCGACCGCCCCACGTTGCGCGAGCGTGTCATTGCCGTCCCCCAGGACGCCGTATTCTTGCCGGACGGCACCTCGTTCCGCCAGAACCTGGACCCCTTCGGTGCGGCCGATGCCAGCATGTGCCAGGCGGCGCTCGAGACCGTCGAGCTCTGGCCGTTTGTGCAGGACCGTGGTGGACTCGAGGCTGGGCTGGCGGCCGACACCCTGTCGCAGGGCCAAAAGCAGCTGTTCAGCCTGGGCCGGGCCATTCTGCGCCGCCGCGTCCGTGCCGCCGCCGAGCTGTCTGGGCCCGGTTCCGGAATATTGCTACTGGACGAGGTCTCGTCTAGTGTCGACCAGAAGACGGACCGCGCCATGCAGACCGTTATCCGCGACGAGTTTGCAGGCTACACGGTGATCATGGTCAGCCACCGTCTCGATATGGTACTGGCGACGTGCGACACGGTGGTGGTGTTGGACCAGGGCCGGGTGGTTGAGACGGGCGTGCCGTCGGAGCTGGTCGAGTCCGAGGGCACAAGGTTCCGCGAGCTATGGCTTGTCGGGAAGAAGGCCTAGGGTAGAGTGGGTGAAGGAAAACAAAAGAGTGAGTTTGACATGTATTCTTATGTGGGCTCTGGACATCTTTCCTCATTTTCTGTATTCTACAATCTTCGCTTAACGATATTGAGCCCCGTTCCTGCATTTCTCTCCTTTCTCCCATGTCGTATATCTCGGCATCCAATTCAGCTCAGTCTGCAAAACAGGTGGTCTACGAAATGTGCAAATAGAAACGTATACGAAGAGACAGGCTATGCAGTGACCAGTTGTTCTGATACACAAAAACGTAGTCATCGGAACAACTAAGCTGCTGCCTATGACGGGCTTCATTGTTAAACGTCGCTTGAGCTACTTCCACGTCAGCCTCATCGAGTCACAGACGTCCGAAATGACGGAGAAAAGTACAAACAAAAACAAAACGGAGTCCCGCTCCGCAAGGCGCCGGTGAAGAAACCACAGTGGCTTCTTGCAAGGCCAGGCTGCCAACAATAACGACACCTTGCACAACCACACCACAGACGCGCGACAGGGCGACGAATACCAAGACTTAAAAGAAGACGGTCATCAGGAAAGTTGACAATGCTCTGGTTGTAATTAATCGGCTTTTTTGCAGTTGTCAATTCCTACAACTCCACACTTTCTTTCTTTGTTCTACTCTTGTTGTCTCAGACAAGGACAACGTCAACTCATGACCGAGTGAGAAAGCACTGCCTCTTGTCCCTATATTCACATTGGTCCTCACCATCGCGGACCTTCCGACGTCCTCTGGCCAGTTCACGTCTCTTTGTTCCTTGCATTGCGGCTCTATCTGGTGAGTACGTTTCCGCTGTCGCTGCTTCAGTTATTTGCTTTGCCTCTCCACCGGCCGTTTTCTTTCATCTGCCCTTGTCCACCTGCCGCACTTACACCGCCGCCATACCCCACTTCCCCTGCCGAACCGCCTGTGCGTCCGCCTGTGGGCGCAGGATGACGTAGCCCGTCTGGTGGCCTTATTCTGTGGCTCCTTGCCAGTCGGCTCTGTGCGCTACGGGGGCGTTAGTGCGCCTTACAGTGGTCCTCCCCCACTCGCCCACCAGCCGCATTCTCCGCCAGGCTGCTTTAGGGCCATTTAGGGGCATTTCGGTCCAGGCTTGTCAGGCGGCAACGCCTCGTGTCTCTTAGCGATCTTCACCTGTCCAACTTCGTTTTCTGTCGCCTGTCCCGCAAACTGTCGCCCCCCTCTATTACCCGAAAAAGGGTCACCTGCAGGGCCTTTGCATACGCTTGTCCGATAAGACTTGTGTGTTTGACCGGCCGACGGCCCCCGCGCACATCGTCCCTCGTGGTCATCTTCCTTTGCAGGTGAATCGTCTTACAGTGCACCCGCAACCGCTTACCTATTCACCATTCACTGCAATACCCACTACAGCTCTGTTGTCCACCGTAATTACCTGTGGCCCTTTCCCGTGCCCCGCCGCCAGCCGCGTTCGCTCTTGCCGTTGTCTGCGCTCTGACTATCTCACCTCTACGTCGTTCTTGCCTCTACTCTTCTTTTGTTCTCCATCTCGTTCTTTTGTTCTTTTCCTCAACCACGGACGGTCACAGTCTACTGGCGACGCAATAGACTCCTCGCCCGCATTCCTTTTGCCGTCTCCTTTGTCACCTTACGACTGCGGACAAACGCGCCTCGTCCCCGCGTGCGCACGCTCCTTTGCCGTAAATCGCAGTGCGGCTCGTTTGCCCGTTGCTTACTTCCTTTACTTCCAGACTGTTTCGACGTTCGACCACTTCAACTTCTTTCTCTCGGACTCCTCAGAAATACCACCGCCATGTTCGATGTCCTCCCCAAAGCTCTGGCGTAAGTCCCTCGAGGAGCCGCTGTCCTCTTTGTCGTTTTCTAAACATCGTCTCTAACTCGGACTTTTCTCCAGGTCCGTCGCCTCCTTCCTCTTCCCCGTCTACGCCTCCTACAAGGCCCTCAACACCGCCGATCCCGCTCAGCTCACCCCCTGGCTCATGTACTGGGTCGTCCTCGCCTGCGTGCTGCTCGTCGAGTCCTGGACCGACTGGATCTTGGTCTGGGTGCCGTTCTACCACTACTTCCGCCTCTTCTTCTTGCTGTACCTGGTCCTGCCGCAGACGCAGGGTGCCCGCGTCTTATACCAGTCCCATGTCCATCCCTGGATCGTCGAGCACGAGACCCAGATTGACGAGTTTATCGGGTCCGCCTATGCGCGCCTGCGCTCTGCCGGCATGCACTACCTGAAGCAGGCCATTGCCTACCTGCGGACCGCGCTGGGGCTGCCGGCAGCGCCAGAGGGGCCGCCGTCGTCGTCGTCTCCGTCGTCGTCTCCGTTTTCGTACGCTGGCGCCGCCAGCGCCCAGTCCTACACCCAGTCCCTGCTGGCCCGCTTTGCGCTGCCGAGCGCCCGCTGGCCGGGCGGCGCCATGGGCGCGGCTGCCGCCACGGCGGCCACCTCGTCGGGCATCCCGCACCCCGCCGCGCCCGGGTCCGGCACCGACTTTTACAGCATGCTGGCCACCGCCGTCGGGGCGCTCGGTACGGCCACGGGCGCGGCGGGCGCGGCGGGCGGCGTGGCCGCCGGTGCCGCCGCCACGGCGTTTAGCCGGGGCCTGGGCCTTGGTGGCGGCCAGGAACACGACCACGACCACGATCACGACGCCAGGCAGACCATGGCCGCGTCGGGCACGCTCGTGCCGCCACACATCCAGGACGCCGACCGCGCGTCGTTCTTGGCCACCCAGCGCGACCGCCTGCGCACCCTGTTGTCGGCGCTCGAGCGCGAGGCCGCACAGCTCGACGAGGAAGACGAGGTGCTGTCCCGGACGGCGCCCCTCTCGCGCCCGCTGAGCAGCGCCAGCGGTCTGAGCAAGAGCCGCAGCGAGGCCGACTTTGAAAAAATTGACGCCGAGAGCGGCACGGAGGAGGACAAGCCGGTGCGGCAGCGGCGGCATGGCGGGGCGACCGGGGCGACCGGGGCGAGCGGGTCGGGCGCAGGTGGTGGTGGTGGTGCATCGGGCGACGCGCATCCTAGCGCGGGCGGCCGCACGACGAGCGGGTCGTGGATGCCCTGGGGCTGGCGGGGCGGCGGCAGCGAGGACACGACTGCGCCCGTCGGCGACACCGGAAAGAGCTCGTCCGTGGAGCAGTAGATCATCCTGGGCCGCTCTCGCTTGCCTGCACGCTAGACTTTATTTTGTTCAATGTACCTCCACACAACGTTTGTTTATTGTTTATTTTCAGGCGTTCTATGGGTTTCATGTGTCTCCATGTCTTGATATCTGGGCAGGGTCATATTTTGTATTTTATAATATCGTCTACATTTTACTCCCCACGCGCACGTTCAAGGCAAACTATGGATAGACACGGTGCGCCATACTGGGTCCTCGAAGCACCGGTTCAATAGAGAACTTTTCTCGGCGCCTACATTCGCTACAGTCATTGGCTGTTCGATTGTTGTCGTTGTATATGAGGTGTTGTTTGGTCTGTGTTGTCGCTACGTGCGTTCTATATGTTGTCTCAGGACTCTCCCGCGCCTATCGTACAAAGATTCCGCGCAAGCCATCGCTCGCCGCCTACCGCACCACCTTGGATGTGCTCGAAGACGTCGCCGTCGCCAGCGCATACGGATACACCGGCGGCGAGTCCTTGCGCAGCCAAATCTGCCGCTTCTTCTTGGTGACGACGTGCTCCACCCACACCTCGCGGCAGTACTGCTTCTTGAAGGTGCGGATGAACCGCGGGTCCCAGAGCTCCGACGCGACGCCCAGGTCCTTGCAGCACCGCATCATGGCATTCGACTTGCTGCCCTCGCCGGCCGTCGCCACCCCGTCCTCGCCGCCAAAGTACGCACACTCGCCCCGCGCCTGGCCGACAAACCGGCCGTGCACCACCAGCGCAAACTCCCGCGAGACCACCTTTTCGCCCACGGCCAGTTCGCCGCGCGGCGCCAGGCCCCAGCCACCGGGGCCAAAGGCCAGGTTGAGGATGCGGCGGTACTTGATTTCCGGCAGGTAGATGATGCCGTCGGGCTTGATCTCAATGTCCTCGGGGTCGAGGGGCGTCATGAGCACGCGGGCCACCTCGGGCGCAAAGGGCGTGGTCGACAGGCCATGGAACGACGCGGACCAATCGACGGCCGGGGCATTGGGGTCGGCCGCCGGGCCCTGGGCAGGGCCGGCGGCATCGGGGAGGGGTGGCGCAGTCGGGTCGAACGGCGCGGTGTCTGGGCTGGCTGGTTCGGCCGGTGTCGCAGCTGGTGCGGGTGTGGCAGCTGATGCGGGTGAGGCACTGCGGGCGGCAGCGGCTGTGCGCGTAGAGTGGATGGGCCGACTCGCAGAGGAGGAGGAGGATGTCTGTGCGGGTGACGCGGTCTTGACGGCCCCGGCCGGCCGCGATGGCCTGCGCGCGGCGGTAGAGGAGGCTGGAGCGGACGTGGACGCGAAGCGAGAGACAAATGCGAGGCGCTTAGCCGCCGCCGCTGGCACCAGCGCGCGAACAGCGCGCGGCATAGACATTGTCAAGTGGAAGCTGCGAGTGATTGGCGAGAAAGGAAGACGGGTTGCAGCCGATGTGCGTCGCAAAGGAGGTGTTGTGCGTTGGCGAGAAGAGGTGCTGCTTTGAGGAAGAGCTTTCTGAGGTGGCTGGCAGCGAGGCGAGGCTGCGCCAAATGCGGCGCTAGCGACGGCGTGCAGGGCTCCACCACAGTCGGATAGCAGTGTCACTGCTGCCATGTTCAGGCACCATGGCAGTCTTTTACAGGCAAAATAGAAGGCACCGACGAAAACAATATTAATCGCCGTAAAGAGAAAACCATCGGCGACATAACCGAGTCGAACAACAATATAAAAATTGTGTACACAACTCACCACAAACCGAGCATAAATGGCAAAAAAAGACAAAAAAATCAGTGATAAGAGTGGGATTCGAACCCACGCCTCTTGCGAGACTAGCATATTCACGCTGTTCGACTCGAATCCGGAAATTCTCATCTCGAACCTGAAGCTAGCGCCTTGGACCGCTCGGCCATCTTACCATTCGCTGATTTGTGGAAGTCCGGGTCCGGTTTAGAGAAGAAGAAGGCAAAGTGCGGGCCGAAATGCGGGCTGACAGCGCGGACGAAATGCAGTACGAGGACACGCCACGCGATGGGGTGACCAAAATGAGCAGAGTTCTACCAACGCCGATACCTGGCTACGCTGTAAAAGCACATAAGAAACACATCAGAGTTCAGTATAGTCCTCCGTCCGGCTTCACTTTCCCGGCTTCACTTTTCCGGTTCCACGTCCTTTGTGCTTGTGCGCTCGTCGTTGTTGTGTGCCTTCCAACATGCCCGGAACTTTTCCATCTACAAAACATCAGCCCACATGTCATGTCACCATCGACGGCACCGGTCGGGCCATGATGCTTGCGCAGTGCAGCCGGGCAGACTCACCTCGTCTTTGCATGCACGCCAGTCCTTCTTCTCGTAGTAGCAGTCGGTGAGTTTGGCATTCTCGTCTGAGAGCGCAGTCGAGTGTCAGTCAAGTGCTGCCGTATCGAGCCCTCGTCAATACCAAAATACCAATTTTGGAGGTGCCTACCTGCACAGCCTGTACTGAAGATGCGTTGTTCCCTAGGAAGATGGCGGTATTAGCTCAAGAAAATAGCCGATGACGAGATATAACCAAACAGCAACTCGCCAGCTCGTCTCAGATGCCAAACCTACCACTCGTCCGGCTCGTCGTCTTCGGCCGTGGCCGCTTCAGCCTTGCTCTCGTCTTTCGTCATGCCAATGGGTGGGAGACGTAGAACAGCATGCAATACAACGCCCTGTGACTCGTAGATGGTTTGTCAATTGCTGGTTGCCAATTGCTGTGGATGTTCTCTATAGTCGTTTGACATTTCTTCAATGACGAGAAGTGCTGTTCGTGCTGTTCAATCCACCAACTCGCCAGCTACACCAAATGGTCACTAATTGCAAGGCGGTGTAGCGGCTTTGGGCCTTTTCGCGCGCCCCAACTGCCCGTGAAAACGCCACTAATAGCCCACTGCTTAGCGTCATCCCGCCTTCCCTTCGTGCCTTCCCTCGAGGCAGCTCATTCCCCAATCAGAGGATGATTACTGCTGGCAGCCGCTTCCGTCCTCGGGATTCGATTGTCCCAAAAAACTGGAGAGCTATCAAACTACCTCGCAGCTCGCCTCGGCTTCCTGTCTCAGCTCGAGTCACCGCATAGCCGACCTGCTGCTATGCCACCGCGCAAGCTCAATGTGCTGGTCTATGCCGGCTCCGGCTCCACCACCGAGTCCGTCCGCCACTGTCTGTTGACGCTCCGCCGCCTGCTCTACCCCAACTACGCCGTCATCCCTGTCACCGAAGATGCCCTGGTCAAGGAGCCATGGCAGGCCACGTGCGCGCTGCTCGTCATCCCCGGTGGCGCCGACATGGGCTACAGCCGCGTGCTCAACGGCGCGGGGAACCGTCGCATTGCGCAGTACGTCCGTGCCGGCGGCCGCTACCTGGGCCTCTGCGCCGGCGGCTACTACGGCAGTGGACGCTGTGAGTTTGAGGTGGGCAACAAGCCGCTCGAGGTGATTGGCCGGCGCGAGCTGGGCCTCTTCCGGGGCACGTGCCGGGGGTGTGCCTACCCGGGGTTCGCATACAAGAGCGAAGCGGGTGCGCGAGCCGTGCAGCTCACGGTGCACCGGGACGCGTTTGCGCCCAAAGGCGCCAAGGGCGGGACAGACACGGACAAGAAGGACAAGAAGGACAAGAAGGACAAGAAGGACAAGAAGGACAAGAAGGACAAGAAGGACAAGAAGGGGCCGGGCGCCGACCTGCCCACATCGGCGTACAGCTACTACAACGGCGGCGGCGTGTTTGTGGACGCCAAGAGCGCCGACAACGTCCAGGTGCTGGCGAGCTACCCAAACGACATTGCCGTCGATGGCGGCAAGGGGCGAGCGGCCATCATTTACTGCACCGTCGGTGAGGGCGCTGCCATTCTCACCGGGCCGCATCCAGAGTACGCCTACATGTCACCTCTCTCACACCTCTTCCTGGTGCTCCCATTGCAGTCTCGTCTCGTCACATCCCACTAACCGCCCAGATTCGAGCCGGCCAACCTCTCGGAACGCGCCGATGTCCCGCACTATGATGACCTGCTGCGCGCCCTGCGCAAAGACGACGAGGCCCAGTCCCGCGTCAAGCTCCTCAAGGCCTGTCTGGCCAAGCTTGGCCTCGAGCTCGGCAGCGGAACTGCCGTCCAGCCACGCCTCACGGCCCTGCACGTCACCACGCTGTACCCAGACGAGGTCCAGGAGCTCATGTACAAGTGGGAGGAGATTGTGTCTGCAAAGGGCGCCAACGCATTCATCCGCGACGAGAGCGATACCTTTCGAGTGCTGCTCCCCGACTCGGGACCGCTGGCATGGCCGGCCGAGGCGAATGTGGCGACACCGCTCTCGGACGACGACAGCGTTGGCCAGGGATACGGCCAGAGCAACCAGAAGCGCTTCAGCGCGGGCATGCTCATGGATCTCACGGACCGTGCATTGCGCTACCCGAAGCTGGCCGCGCTCATTGGCCGCGTAGCCAGCGGCACGGCACCCGACACCGACACCGACACATTCCGGGCCATCCTGGAGGCCGTGGCCGACCACGAGGAAGAAGGCGACGACGACAGCAGCGACCCAGCAGCTGCGGCTGCGTCACTCTCGACAATCACAGTCGACGAGTGGCGGGAGACGTGGAAGAAACACCGGGCCGCATTTGACCGCGTTGTCGACGCCATCTACAGGGCGGTGGGACGCACTCTGCTCGGCCACCCAGAAAATGTGCCCAAACTGAACGGGGAGATAAAGCAAGAAATGTGGAGCTCCCTGGTGCACGCGTGGGAAGACAAGCGGCGCCGGAGAGAGGAGGCGAGTCGTCCGCTCGAGGACGCTGACGGTGTTGATGCTGAAGCCCACAACGACACCGCTAGCCGCCTCCTGCAGCTCGTCGACGAGGTCGCCGGCGACGATGCCGAGGATGGTACCATTAAGAAGATCGTCGTGTACGAGGGCGGCTGGCCGAGCAAGGTGGCCGTCTTTGACCACAGCAGCTACTACCGCGCCCTCGCCACCTACCGCCTGAGCCTCTCCTCGGGCAACAGCCGCGCCCACCACGCCGACGACGACTACGAATGGGGCAACCAGCTCATGTACGCCAAAGTCACAACGAGCACCAACACGCTGCTCGAAAAGAACCCCAAGCTGCTGAGCACGCTGCCCACGGGCTTCACGTTGACCGCCACACGCCAACTGTCTGCGCGGGGCCGCGGGTCCAACGTCTGGCTGGCACCCGAGGGCCAGCTCGTTCTGTCGACCGTCATCAACCACCCGCACCGGTTTGGCAGCGGCAGCGGCAGCGGCAACCGCCCCGTCGTGTTTATCCAGTATCTCGCTGCCATTGCCATCGTGGAGGCCATCCACGCGTACGCGCCCGGCTTCGAGGCGCTGGACGTCAAGCTCAAGTGGCCCAACGACATTTACGCACGAGACACGACCAGCCCCCGCAAACACAAAGACGGCGAGGCCCCCGGCTACGTCAAGATTGGCGGCATCCTCTCGTACTGTGCGTTCCAAAACGGCCAGTACCAGGTCGTGCTGGGCATCGGCCTCAACACGGTCAACAAGAAGCCCACCACCAGCCTCGAGGCCCTGGTGCCGCCCGCGCTCCGCGCCTCGATGTTGGGCGGCGCCGCCACGGCCGCCACGGCCACGACCACAACGGTCATCGACAACGAAAAGCTGCTGGCGTGCCTGCTGGTCCACCTCGAGTCGCTGTACAAGCAGTATCTCCGCCAGGGCTTCGCCGGCGCGCTCGAGCGCCTCTACTACCGCCACTGGCTGCACACGAACCAGGCTGTGACGCTCGAGGCGGTGGCGGGCGCCCCGCGGGCGCGCGTCCTGGGCATCTCCCACGACTGGGGCCTGCTGCAGGTGGCCGAGGTGGTGCAGACGGTGGGGGCGGCGTCGGTGCGCGGCGGGGACGGCGAAGACGGCGAGGACGGGGCAGAGGAGCGGCTGACGGGCCGCGTGTGGAAGCTGCAGAGCGACGAGAACAGCTTCGACTACTGGAAGGGTCTGGTGCGGACCAAGACGTAGGTCCGCGCGGACGATTCTTGTTTCTTTCTTTCTATTTTACGCGTTTATTTTGTGCACCCATTTGATACATTTGGCATATATCTTGGACTATACAACAGCAGTGCTTTTTCTTGTTTCTCTCGTCGTTTTGCCTCTCCTTGTTGCTGCCAGCACAGTGTGAAAATGGTGTTTACATGCACTCTTGGTGCGAGCATGGTGGCCATCGACGGGTCGACCGGACAAACGAAGCTACGCATCACTGCAATGAACACGACGACGACGCCGGCATGGGCACAATTCGCAAGTATCTTTCGCATGTCTATACGCTTGTCTATACGCTTGTTCTATATACAGTCATTTGATTGTGAAGCTTTTTTTTTTTCTTTCCGAACGCGACGATTCACGTCTGGTTGTTCCGCCACGTTGATATTCACTGCACGCGCCGCTCTTTCGCGTGACTTTCCGCTCACGTTGCTCTCAGATGCTCCTCACTTTTTTGTGGCTCCGAAAACGAGTTGTTTGTTGTTGTCCCGTGCAAACAGAAGCTGCTCCTCTTGTCCTTGGCAGTCGGTTTCCCTTCTTGTCCCCATGTTCCTTGTTTTCCTCTTGCTTCTTCTTTTCTGTTTTCTTTCCTCTCGTCACATTCATCATCACGACATCTCCTGTTTTCGTATTGCCCTTCCATTTCACAGTCTCCTTCATTATACATCCTCTATCTTCGTGTCTCCCATTCACCTGCAAAGGTCGTCTTGCACATCCACACATTTTTTTTCTCACGCATTCCCGAGATGAGCCAATCCACGGCTTCAGGTCAAGGACCTGGACCCCAACCCAGCATCACGACGACCCATGTCCGTCCAAGAGACGAGAGCAGCAGCTCTCAAGATATTTTGAAACCCACAGCGAGCCCGAATGAGAACAACAGCAGCGGCGGTGATGGGGGCACGATTGCTGGTTTGAACAAAGACACATGCACCAGCAGCGTCAAGTCGTCCAAAATGGAGAGCCATCCCAGCCGAAGCCCGGTGATGGCAGGTAGATACCGCATTCCCACGGTATCCTCGTCATCGTCCCATAGGACACATAGCGGACAGAGCACGCACAGTGGCCAGGATGCACCCCATCGGTCATCGTTTCCCTTGCCCCTTGCGCCACCAAAGCCCGCGTCTCTGCCCACGCCAACGCTGCCCGTCCAGACTGCCCATACGAGCGTCCGCAGCAGCAGCAGCAGCAGCAACGCGCACGCCGGTCTGCGCTATTCCATGGACTACGACCAAGGCTATACCAGCGGGATAAAGTACACCAGACGTGCGCATGGCGACAACTCATTCTACACAAACGGCGGCAAGAATGGCAGCCACAGCCGGGCGCAGCAGGCCATGGACGACATCAAAACGGAAGCGTTTGCGGCCGGCAAGATGCACGGCTACCAGACGGGCTACCACGAAGGGCGCCTCGTGGGCCAGCGTGAAGGCCACAGGGACGGCCGCGACGACGGGCTCCGCGAGGGACGTCGGGAGGCGCAAAAGGACAGCCAGAGACATGGCTACAACGAGGGACACCGGGTGGGCGAAGAGAAGGGGTACGCCGAGGGGCAAAAGAAGGGCTATGCGGAGGGCCATGCGGAGGGCCACGAGGCCGGGCGCAGCGAGGGTCGCGAAAGCGGCCACGGCGAGGGGTACCACGCGGGCTTCGACGAGGGCTGCGACCAGGGCTACTACGAGGGCCACGGCCACGGCGAGCAGCGCGGCCATGCGCGCGGCTGGGACGAAGGATACGAGCAAGGGTTCGCATGGGCCAGCACGTTTTGGACGAGCGGGCCTCTCAAAGCAGACGCCCAGGAATTTGTGCCCAAGACGTACACGAGCCCCCTTGTCGTTGATGGGTCGAGCGGTCCGGGCGTGGATCCGACCTTGTTTCGAAGCTGGCTCCACGACGTCGAGCATCGCCAGTTGACGCGTCCTGCGCAGGCAGACGTTGCCAGCGACCAGGACACTGTTCAGCAGCCAGACACTCTTGAAACGGACCAGAGGGGCGGTATTGACCACCTCGTCATCCAAACAGATGGCCGCTCTGCCAAAGAAAAGGTCGAGGAACACCACATAGGACAACCCATCACCATCAACGTCGGCCTCTCTGTTGATGACGAGGTTGAGGACAGTGACCTGCCCATTGACAGTGGCAATCAACAGCACGACAAGAAGACCGCACCTGTGGAGGTTGACGACAGCGGCGACGATGTTTTTGTCACTCCCTACGAGAGTCCGGTCGCGGCGCGCGTTGGCGTCCTAGACCAAGTGAGCGACAACGAGTCCGAGGCCGACCTTTGTGCTGGGTGGGCCGCTGCTTTCCGTCCTCGCCGCGATGCTCCTCGCCCTCAGGTGCTTTCCCCTTCTCCTTCACAAACTATGTCACCCGCGTCCGCCGCATCCGGGACGACCGTCGTCCACAACGGCACGCGGGAGGGGGACACCGTCACGCACTACATCACCTTCGGCGACGTTCCTGTGACAATCACCAAGTCGTCCGCTGGCACGGTCGCCGTTCCGTCGTGGCCTCCGACCGCTGTTGACGCGCCAGCCACCATTGATGCAACGGCTGCCGGGGTTGACGATGCTGTAAGTTGTGCCCTCCATTGGCCCAGTTCCCGTGGCGTACTTTGTGGGTGCAACATGACTAACGCTCCGTCATCCGTGGCAGGACGCATCCGACATGGATTCGCTTGGGGGCCAGTCGACTCTCGTCTTGGACATTTCTGACGAAGAGATGCCGGAGCCAGCCGAGCCCGTAGAAGCACAAGTGGATGTCGACGACGCGTCAGTCCTCTCGCCGACGCTGAGCGAGACCGAGATCGACCATCGCGGTGCGAAGGGCAAGGGCAGAGGCAGCTGGTCTCACAAGGCCAGCGCTACGAGCAGGGCCGCGGCCCAGGCGGCGCCCCAAATCCAGATGCCACCCAACCCGGTCATGACGTTCGAGGACATTGCCATCTTTTCGAGTCAAGGGCCCAACCCCCCTCTGCCGCGCTATCCGTCGCCGCTCTACCGCACACCACCCCTGTTTGAGATTGGCCCCGACCAGGCGCCGCAGGTCACCGAGAGCTACCCGTCGTTTCGCCGCCGCGGCTGCAACACGGTGTTTTCCGCATACCGTCTCGAGCCGGGCCAGATCTTCGATCCGCTCGCCGAAGTCCACGACAAGAAGGGCACCATCTTCCCGGTGGGGGGACGCACACCGCCGCGCGGCATCGTCAAGCTCGTGCCCGACCACATTGTCTACAAGTTTGGCATCCCGCCGCCCGACCACAGCAATGAGACAAACGACGCAAACGACACAAACGACACACATGCCGCTCCCTCCTCCGGCGCGGAGCGGCTCGCTCGCTGCCTGCAGCATGGCCTGTCGACCTGTCCAATGTGCGCCATCACCCCGTCGTTCCGGTTCCTGGGCCCCGGCGAGGCCATCGCGCGTACCTTTGCGCACGACGGCACGCCCGCCGGCGACCCGCAGACCAGCCCAGCGGTCTTTGCCTCTGGGCAGTTCCGTCCCGCCGGGTTCGGCGATTTCGAAGTACACGGCCGCCCGCTGCAGGAGTCGTCGCTCGCGGCCGCCCAGCACCCCGACGAGGCCAGCCCCCCGTGTCCGGTGCGCATGATGCCGCAGTACGACCCCGAGGTGCTGGGCCACCACGTGCGCGGCGTGCGCGGCGAGCGCAACGAGCACGGCGAGCACGCCAGGGAGAAGCCCGTGCCGCCGTCCGCGCTGGACACACACTACTGCGACCCGTGCGGCGGCCTGACGTGGCTGGTGACGCGCCGCAGCCGGCCCCATGGCGGCGGGTCCGCGGTGGGAACAAATAGCACCAACAGCACCAACAATCCCGACACCGTGGCGGGCGACCGCACCTTTGGGAGGTCGCACCCCAGCCACCATGCGTCCTTCAATGAGCCATGGAGCAGGTCTCGGTCGTTTTGTGCCTCGCTGGGGGGCCGTGGCAGCAGCCGGTTCCCCGAGCAGGCGGGCACGACGCGGTCGCTCTTTGTCGAGGTGGCGTCGGTGCCGGCCGAGGCGGAGCACAGGGGGCAGGGCCGCGGACGCAGTGAGCCGGCTCGCTATGGCGTGGCGGCGTTCTTTGGGCCCCATTCGCGGTACAACAGCCGCCTCGATCTCGACTTGGCCACAGCGAGCACGCAGGTGGCCCGCGACGCCACGGGCCGCGGTGGTCGAGAGGACCGACAGGAGCGTCTGGTGGACCTGCCCTTTGAGCGCTTCTCGACCAACGCCGGACCCCTCGCCGCCATGGCCGTCGCGCTCCACCGGCTCTGGATCGACGTGGTGCCGGCACACCGTGCGGCCGTCGACCGGGTGACGCGGTACAACAGCGACCACTCGCGGCGCAAGGCGTACCGCTTCCGGGCGATCCTCATGACCGACAGCGCGTACGTCGTCGACTTGTTCAGCGACCATCTGCACAAGCGGTGGACCCGCCGTTTCCGCCCGTACGACTATGTCGCGCCCGGCAGCGGGAACGCGCTGGCTGTGTCCGGTGCGGCTGCTGTCGCTGACAAGCCCACGGCCAAGAAGAAGAAGTCAGGAAAGCGCAAGTCGAAGAAGACCAAAAAGGCCAAAAAGGGCAAGAAAGAGGCGGAGGCGGAGGCGGAGGGGGCGGAGGGGGCGGAGGAGGTACACAAGAAGGACAAGAAGGAGGAAAACAAGGATGAGAAAGCTGCTGTGGCTGCTGTAGCTGCTGTGGGCACTGTGGGCGCTGTGGGCGCTGCCAGCGGAAAGGGCATCCGAACGACTGTCGTCATGGGAGCCCACGTCGACAGTGCGCCCTCGGACGGCATCGTCGCCCCCAACAACGACAACACACGAATCGTGGCCACCTTTGACGAGCTCGTCGACATGGATCTGGCCGCGGCGGCGAGCCCGACCTTTTCCATCCCGACGACCACGCCCACGTCCAGCCGGGCCGCCTCGCGCTCGCACTCACCGCCACCGACCAGAACGACGACCCTGAAGGCACCGGCTGTGGAATCTGAGAATGGCCCCGATAGCCCCGATCGCCCCAATGGTCCTGGTCCTGGTCCTGGTCCTGGTCCCGCTTCCGCTCCCGGCGTGGGCCTCGGCCTCCACGTGGACGGCCTGTTCCTCCCCCCCGCCAGCGACAGGGCCCTCGACGCGTTCGCCTTTGACCGCCCCGACGGCCGGTTTGTGTATGTGTCTGCGCACGGCGGGCCGCCCATGGCCAATGGCTATTTGGTGCAGCTGGTGCGGCGGTACATGGAGATGCTGCGGCAGCACGGCGTGCAGGTGGCGCTCTACGAGGTGGAGGGGCCGTATGTGCAGAATGCGCGTCGTCTGGCCGAGGAGGCCATTGCGTGAGGATCGAGGGGCTGGCAGCGGGTGAGACGCTGCGGAGGAGAAGGTGAGGGATGTATCAAAGACTGTACGGATAGCATATGGGCACGACACAGTGTGTTTTTATGTGTTTTTTTATGTGCTTTCTTTTTCTCTTTTTCGTTTGTTTTGATTTTCTCAAAGGAGTATGGACGTGGAGCATGGACGGTGCAATGTTTATAAAGGTCGGTGCGGTTCATGGACTCGGTCTCGATTGATATGCATCCGTCAAGGTGTTCTGGTTTGGTGTTTATTTCAACTGCCGTATTCAATGGCTGGCACGTATGTCGTACGATTCGACTATAATTGAAAGTTTCTCTTGTTCTATGTTTTTACGTTTCATTCGTTTTCTTTTTCTTTTTCGTTTTCTTTTTTTTTTTTTACTTTGACATTGTTGTAGCACACGCGGATGAGGTGAAACCGCCAAACGGAGGGCTACTTCAAGGACTGCTTGTTTCACCTCAGGTCACCAGGTTGCGCAACGTTTCAATGTGCACCGAGGACATCACAAGTGCTGGGAACGGTCGTGTCCAGTGCTTGGTACAAAACAACAGGATCATCAAAAAATACATCGCCAGAGGGGTGTAGGAAGCATGTCATGGCGACCCGTACAGCGACGATCAAGTAGACGGTACATCGGACAAAGGCGCTGGAGCTGGCCGCGATGCGTTGCGTGAATGACGGGAATGACACTGCACAGCCTCGCGCAGCGCACTCAACGGACCTATTGTCGAGGCCCAAATACACGTCAGGGTCCGTCATACTGATGAATAAACAGACATGTAAAGTATGACAGCCGCTCAGCGCCCAAAAATAACCTTTTAGGGCCGCATAATTAGGGGTCTGACACGAGAAAATGCGCGAGAGAGTGACAGATTGGAGAGACTGGGAGGCGGCGTGCATGCAGACAATATTGGCTAGGATCGCGGAGGCGACGGAATGCGGACGATCCGTACAGCGGGTGAGAGGGCCAGGTGGTGTTGGTGTATTACTCGCGCAGTGAACGTGAGAATGATGCGCAAGAAAATCAGGCCAGGCCCTGTCGCGATGACGCAGTATGAGAGGCTTGCGTCGTCAGTAAAGTCGGTAACGGCTGTCAGCAAAAAACAGAAAACGGCCGAGAAGGGCCGCCAACCAAAGCGGTACTGTTCATCCTACTGTTCGTTCTCGCATCCTTTGATCTTTTCTAGAAGTACCTGGAACGAAGGGCCCTGTGGGCGAACCGTCTCGTCATGACAATGCCCGATGGACGGCCGGTAGAAATCAAAACGGTGGCTCTTTCGTCAGTGGACAAAAAGATACATTGGTTCATCGACGTGGGATCCTATCAGCGATGAAAAGGGACACGCCCCCTCCATCTTGCGGGCTTTTCCCATTTGTTGCGCTTTCCCAGCGTGTGCGCAAAGGATGTGATTGGACGAGAAAATGGCTCTCTTGTGTGTTCTGGAAGATGTGAACGATGTGATGAGAGAAGGATGGCGCGTGCAATGTTTGCAAAAAAAACTCGCGGGAGGTTGTTATTCTATTATAATTTGGATCTGTGCGTTTGTTTGTCTCTACAGTCAGGGTGAGAGACGATCGGCCATGACTCTCAACCGACGTCGATTCTCTCATGTGTGCGACGTAATTCTGTGACAACGATTCTAGTAATGCATACCACGGAAACAGACAAGCCAACGCGAAAACGAGCGATGCAACTCTTGCATCGTCCTCTCACAGCGAGAACGATCAAATGGCGCCAGTCAAGGCCTTGGTCAGATAGCCCGAAATATGTCAGTTGGGGTCCTCTGGTGGTTGCTCTGGGCATGGCTCAGGCGCTGTAAGCGCCCAAACTTGCATCCCTCGCATCATAAGAGAGAAGCAAGGTCTCACTGAGCGGTTGGGGGTCGGAGAGCCGTGCTCGTGAGGCGCTATGAGAGACCAGACACGCCGAACACTGTGAGGCTCGTTCGGCAGAGTCCTCCTTCACACGCGCAGTGCAGCCGCCTGCCTTTCGTGAAAGACAACAATGGCCGTCATGGACAACAATGGCCTTCTTGTCAGACTCGACGTTCTCGACCTCTTCCAAAAATACAGTCCTGCCGTGCAACGACATGCCTCCCGTCTGTCGTTGTGTGTGTGCACAAAAGGCCAGGAGGCCGAGCCCAGGCCAGCAGACCTCGCGTGCGTCCGTAGCACAGACCACAAACCACACGTCGGATTTCGTTCCAAGACTGTCCATGGGGTGGTGTGTGGCCGGTGACCATGCAAGGCGGTTGTGTGCGGCCGAGTGCGGAAAGCATGTCGGAGCGTGCTGGCAATCCACAAGTGTGCAAGAGAAGGCAGCCAACAAGTGCACAAAGTCTGTTGTGCACCTCACAGCCTCGTTCCGTTGGCCCTGCATCCCTTACCTATGACTGCGGTTGCTGAAGGACAAGATGGAGAGTCACAACAGTCTCTCCGGGCCAAGAAAGTAGCAAGACACCTCTTATGGCCGGCGCAGCATGTCTTTGCATAGGTGCTGAGAAAGCGCCGCCGAGAGGTGATCGGCCGGTTCTGGGATCAACGTGCGCTACATTGTCATTCTGCTTTTTCGTCTTCTTTTGCTGGACTTGCCCTCGGCGATGGTCACAAGGCCACAGAAATGGGCCCCTTAAATCGATCTGTATGGACTCTTCTTCCATGTCCCGCGTCGATCACGGCGTCGACCTGAAAAGATGGCCCTTTTTTGGTCCTTTCAGCCTTCCTGGCCGCGCGGAAGGGTCCTTTGTGGATGGAGAATGCGGGATAGACGCTGGGGGCGCTCGCAGGGCGCTGAGACCACTCGACATGTACATAGTCCGGCAGATGGGCTGGCCAGTCAAGAGGGCCGTCGAATGTGCAAAAACGTGAAAGCGCGGTGGTGGTGGGCAGCGATTCGCTGTCCAATGCCGAAGCCACTTTGGCTGCCTTGCCTCGTTTGTCATTCCATATCGTAGATGTGCATTTTCCCCCTTCCATTCAACAATAATCTATTTCTGTTTTTCTTTTTCGCCTCAACAGTACGACGTCAATTGCAATTGCAAAAACAGAGGCTCGAATCGGTCAAAAAGAAGTCGCGTGGCCCTTGAATGGGCGAACGTGCGCAAGAAAACGGAAGAGACGATATTTCTTCAAGCCTCCCATTTTCGGGGTCCAGACAACCACAACACGGCACACGCTTTCAAAACCGGAAGCGTCTGACACTGTCCGAGAGTGAACACTGCACGGTTGGTGATGGCAGGGTGGCCCGGCCTCTCGTGGAAAAAAACAGCCAAACATTCGTCTCATAAAGTCTGAGCACGGGTCACAAATCACTGATCGTATGCTGCCCCGTTCCCACCCAGCCTTAAAACGATGCTCGCTGTTGATTCTCTGGTTCTCGTTCCGACGAAAAAAAATATAGTGTAAATTGTAGACGTTACGCGTGTCGCGTTGGATCTCCGTTCTCGCGGACGGGAAAAGGACGACCCGTTTTGAGGCCATTTTGCGACCATTTTGCGCCGTCTTATGCACACTCCCCCTAGTCCATTATCTACACAGTACAGTTGTTTTCCAGTCGAGTTGGCTTGTGCATGCAACCCCATCGCGCTGCACGCGTTTTGTCTGTCCCCAAGCCCAGCGATCGACCTTCATGCCCAATCGTTCTTCGTTTTTGGCCCTTTTGAACCGTGTTTATCTTTTGTATTCGCTCCGCTCGCTTGTTCTTGTCGAGTAGAATAACATCCATTCAAAAGGTTGACCGTACACATTCGTGGACGTCTTTGTTCTCCGTCACGTTCACCACTGTGCAAAACAAAAACAAGCCATCACAAACGATCCGAGTTGGGCTGGAACCACGGCGGCGGGCACTAGTGGAAAACGACTTGCAAACCAAATGGCGCTGCGGTCCGCCGCGGGCGGCCGGCGTCGAGCTCGTCATTTGAAAGCTCACTCTACGGCGTAATTGTCCCCGAGGTGCGTTTACAACGGTCCATTTTAGCGTGCATCGTTTATTGTTGCTGGTGCAGCATGCCTCACGCACCACTTCGTTTAGGCCGTTTGATTGTTTGTCTACTTTCTTGTCGAAAGCAGTCGTCTACTACTTTTACCGTAAAACGTTTTGTTAGTTTTATTTTTACAAGGTACGGCATACTTGCACCGAAATTGAAACGTCGGAACACTGTGGCCTGACACGTTCGTGGTTAGTGGTCAAAGGAAGACTCATACGACGTAGTCTATGAGACTACCGCGACTGCATGGTTGGGCGTCAACGCCAGAATCCGCCGTAGAACAGGAGGGGAAACCCATGCTCCCTCCTTGAACTTGTTCTTTGCTTGTCACTATTGTCATTTGTTAACTTTTGTTCTCGTGGACGCTCAAGCATGTCGTCCCGTCGTGTTTTTTTTTTTTGTGCTTTCCCTTGCCGGCCATTGATGCTTCTGTTTGGTCAAACCCTTTTTATGTCGCGGCTGATATTGTCCAACCCCGTTTCTACTTTTTTTTTGTGCGCAAATCATGTTTCATCAAAGGGGGCGTGTACTATAGGGCTGTTTAGCTGCCTTGTAAACAAATCTGTTACTGAGAACGTGATACTTGCCCTACTTGTCTCATATAGTCCTGGCAGAAACGCACAAAAAGGAGGCACAATGTAAATATTGACAAGCAGACTTCATGTATATCCCTTTCTTCATATGATCACCACTGCAGCAACACTAAGCAAGTTCAGTCACTTCAAAGAACAAGCACAAGGTAACATTCATATCGATTTTGGAACGTGGATAGCAAAAGCAATATTTTGGTTTTTTTGGTAATTATCTACCTTGTTTTATACTTTCTTGACATGTTTAATCTAGCAATCTCATCCTCCATCCCTTCATTCATGTCGAAAAGCAAACGCAGTAATAAATAAACAATAGAATTCTGCTTGGAATGTCATACTCGTCCCTCCCCACATTGGCCTAAACAAAAAATAACAAAGACATGACAGACGTATGTCCGTTGTGACCAAAATACTCGAAAACTCGGATGACAAGACAAGACAAATCGAAATCGCTACCGCAAAACATAGACGAAAGAGCAAAATATCCAAAAATTAACCCGTAGTATATTTTCCGTCGCCATTGGTCGGGTTCTGGATCGAGAGACGGAGAATCGAGACCAGGAAAGTTTCATCCGTTGGAGACTTTCTCTAAAACTACACAAAAAACAAAAAGTACAAAAACAAAAGCAAACGCAGCTATCGAGACACTGTATAAAAAGCAAGAAAAACAAGAACAAAACTAAAAATAAACGCAAGAACATCTAGAAATGGGGAGCGGTTGGTATCACCATCGTACAAGAGGTCCCGTCAATCAAAACCGATGTCCACCCGACATTCTGGACAATAATACATGACCTGGGAAAAGAGAAACAGATACAACGAAAAGGCAAGAACTTTTGAGAATCCGTTTTGAGTTTCCCTGAAAACCGCCCGCCGGCCCAAAAAAAAAATCACGCACGCATAACGAACCAAAGCAAAACGCAAAATGTCAAAAAAGACACGAGCCCTCACTCTTCTCCCCGTCGTGGGACGAAGAAAAGAGAAGCGAGAAAAAAATATAAAAATAAAAGTAAAAGACCAAGGAGATCCAATATTGTTGTTGCTTTTGTTCCACCCGTTGTAAAATCGTCAACGCTCTTCATAATGTTCCATTCGTGGCAAGGCAATCCAGTCCAAGGAAGGGAGCCAATAAAGGGTCGAACAGAGCCGAGAAAACGTCGATTCGAGATTGTTTGGTTGGATTGCAGTTGCCAGAAAGTGGAAGACCAGGAAGTTGGGGTATCTCAAGAGAGAGAGAGGAGAGACAGGCGCAAAGACAAGAAATGAAAAACTGTTTGATGCTCCCCGTTGCTGGGCAAAGGGGATTCTTTGGGTATTGCACCATCCAGATCTATAAGTTTCCAGGACAGAAAGGACAGAAAAGAGGAGAGGCGCAGAAAGAACCGCGGGAAAAAGAGAAGAAAAAAGAAAAACTCCATTTCCACCCTCTTTGGAGAGGGGAAAAGCAAAAAAAAAAGACTGGAAAACGTTCCGGGGTATTGGGTTCCATGAATGGAAGAAAAAGGGACTCCAAATGCGAAAACCAGATTATAGTAGGTAGTAGTACAAGGTTGAGCGAGACACGTGTCGAGGTTGTCGCCCAAGGGGTATTTTGTCTTTTTTTTTTCTTCGATGTTTTTCGATGTTGAATTGATTTCCATCCTTTTTGGGGAGGTTGGCTGATTTTGGAACCGTTTGTATGCCCAGTGGAGAGGAAAGGATATGGTCACCAGAAGTGGGAGGAGAAAGGAGACAGGTTGTGAGTAAGTCATCCTAAAGACAACGAACCAGCACAACCACACAACCGACAGGCGTTGTCCCCGCGCCAGAAACACCACCCATCTATTGGGTGGGCTTGCGCAGGATGTCTTCGCAGTTGGCGTCGAACCGGAGGTTCCAGAGACGGACCGACTGCATGAAGCGCTCGGTCTTGTCCATCTCGCGGTCGTGGCCGAACAGCGTCTCGACAAACTCAATGCCAGCGTTCTTGCCCAGCTGTGTCTTGTCGCGCTTACCCGTGGTGCGGAGCATGGGCGCTTCACAGGTCTTGAGCAGCTTGCGGAGCTTATCCGTCAGGCGCTCGCCCGAGATGATAAAGTCCTCGAGCATCTCCTTGTTCTCCTTGGTGCGGACGCGCGGCATCACTTCATCGGTCCGGCGGATCTTGCCGGCCAGCTGGATGAGCAGCAGCCAAAGCTCACCTGCGACCTCGGAGATGGGCGACGTCGAACCGTGGTGGTAGGTCGTCCAGTCGTAGATCCACTTGCCCAGAGAGTTGGCGTCGAACACGCTGCCCAGGAGCATGATGGGGTCCTCGGTCGGGTCCCAGTTCTTGAGCGAGTAACCAGCCGGAATATGGCACCTCTTTGCGTCGGCCTCGGTCGCCCGGCGAGGCGGCGGGGACGATGGCGGCGCAGCCGCAGACGACTTGCGCGCCGAAGACGTGTTGGCGGGAGGAGGGTGGTAGTGCGAGCTGACAGGCCGCGCCGTCTGAGGCCGGGCCGGCATGGGCATGGAGGTGGATGCGCGGCGGGTGTGGCCGTGGCCACCAGCGGAGCCGGTAGGGGTAGCGCGCCGAGCCTCGGTGGCGTCGGCGAAGCGTGGCGACTCAAAACCGCGTCCGATGTCTTTCTCCACAAAACCGTAGCCGCCCTGCTCGAAATGGTGGATGTGGTTAGTCCCGTACACGACGTCATCGTAGTAGTTGTGGTAGTAGTCATCGTCACGGTAATGCTTGTCACCGCGATGATACTGCTTCTTCGGGCGGTCGCCACTGCTACGAATGTAGTAGGACTGGCTCCGCTGCTGCTGGTGCGGCTGCTTTCTCGATCTCGACCGAGCAGGCAACACATAGGTGACGCCGTCGATCTTGACGAGCTCGTCCTCGTCGGAGTCCCCAATGGAGTCTGAGGCCCGATAGTAGGAGAAGGAAGCGCTGCGTCGCTCGCGCCGTGGAGTGCGAGGACTGGAAGCCCACGTAGTTGTCGTCGCCGACTGCTTCTGCGCCGAGCGCGATGAACTCACATTGGCTGTGGCGTAGTGGCCATCGCTCGTGTAGCGGGGCGAGAAGGTCGGAGGCCGCGAAGACGAGGTGTTGGCGGCGTACTCGTGGAAAACGCCTCCGGCTCCGACGCCGCGGTCGGCGGCGTGGCCGCCGCCCATACCACCAGAGCTCATGTGCCGAAAGTGCGCACGCGTCGCCGGGCGCTGGGGCTGGCCACCGTAGTAGTAGGTCGGCCCGCGGGGCGAGGGCGTGGGCGACGGGCTGACATAGTCCTTCTTGTCGTAGTAGTAGTCCGCCGCAGGCGTGGACGCGTAGGGGGAGTAGGCGGCGTTCATGATGATGGCGGACTGATTGTCGTCGTAGTGTTGGACGTACGGATGAGAAGTGTTGTGATTGTTGTAGGACGTGCCGGCGGCCGTGCTGAAACGGCGCGAAGACGAGGACGACGGACGGTAGAAATAGGCGCCCGCGTCACGCGCCGTAGTCGTGTTGGGAGATGTATAAACTGCGGTTGAAGCTGTCTGTCTATGTGAAAGCGATCTCTGGTGCTGGGGAGGAATGGACTTGTTGGGCTTGGGGGAGAGGAACAGGAAAGGGATGATGCCCGAGAGAGAAGAGGAAGACTTGTGACGTCGCCGTCGTGGAGTCGAGGAAACAGAAGTGGCCGTGCGGGATGAGATCGAGGCCGTGGCCGTCGGTGCGGACACGGTCGCGATCACGGCGAGAAGAGGGGATGCGGTGTAAAAAAGGAAAAAGGAAATCACGCCTTGTCGCGGGACGCGAGAGAAGAAGTAGGAGAGAGTGACACCAGTCACCTTGGTCTGTGGTCGGTAAGAGGAGGGAGGGAAAGCCGTCGACTGTTGGAGAACATATCAAAGGATTTGGGGTGCCGTTTTGCCGATGCGGAAACGAGACCGAGAGGTGAGGGGATTTGGAGAGCGCAAGACAGTCCTCGAAATTTCTGTCGTGTTCAGAAACGAGGAACCTTTGTCATCAAAACGATCGCGATATCGCGATGGCTTTCTGGCGAGTTCTGGAAGGCACCGGACGCTTCGGGAGGCCAGAGAGTGAAAATGCGTTGGACGACGTGACGGAGACGCGACGTTCGTTCAGTGGACGGATGTGAATGCGCAGCTGTGTTTCTTTGGGGTTCTGTTGGCGAGAAGCCAAGATGATGAGGAGAGAGAAGCAGAAAAGGGAAGGAAAAAGAGAAAATTCACAGGGTTGGGTGGGTTTGTCTTATTATGTATGCGTACGTGACGAGATGGGAAGGGGGCTCGCTGTGGTTTGGGCCTGTCCGCACACAGAGAGAAGGCACGAAGAAGAGGACCCGTATTGTTGTTAGGGGGTGTGCTGGTGTGGTGGAGGTTTGTTCAGGTGGTTGGGAACGGCGGAAAGGGGGGCGTGGCAAAGGAGACAGGGGGCTGCTAGAACACGTTAAAACAGGGATGCTAGTAGCTGGAGGTACTTGTGTACTTTGTTCTTTTTGGGTGCCGCGTCGTGTGTTGCCCCAAGGCAGGGGGTGTGTGTCTAGCACAGAAGTATCTTTTGGGGCAGGAGACGAGACGGTCGCTCTTGCGCTGAGGGCAGGATTATGAGTCGCTCTTGCTCACGGTTGTTCCGTGCCTTCTTCTCTGGGCTTCGCTGCGTTTGCTTCTTCTGCCTCTTTCCTTCCTCGAGATTAGTCACACCTTGCAACGTTGCCAGCCACGCGAAAAGAAGGCACTACTCGCGGGTCTGTCCTTCAGTCCGGTCCCCTTGTCTTGTTGTTATTGGCTATTCTTGGCTGCCATTGGCTGGCTGGGTCTCCGTTTTCGACCGTTCCTGGCCGTTTTCTCGTAGGTCCCGTTTGCTCTCCTGGCTGGTCGCTCTTGCGCAGCCTGTCACAGCGTGCGACGTGCCTTCTATTTGTTCTTTCGCCTTCCAGTGCATGCGCTTCAGCTTGCTAATGCTGCCACGCACAGCTGGCTTGGTGCGGAAGGTGCGAGAGGCAGCCAGTGCAAACGAAGCAGTCGCGACGGACAATTGCGACCGAAGACTTGGATGCCCTCGCAAAGTCTCGACTCATTCTCTTTGGACTGCCTTTTCTTCGCCTCTTTCTTCTCGTTTGTTGTCCTGCTTTCCGCGTGCTCTTCGAGCCCTCTTTCTGGTATTGGCAGTGGGTCGATTGGATGGAGTCTCTGAGTCGCTGGAAAAAAGGCAAATTTCCGCAGGACGCCCACCCCGGCTCACGATATGGGGCTGTAGAATCAGGGCAAAGCAGGGCACAGCAGGGCACCAGGGCAGGGCATCAGGGCAGGGCACTTGAAATGCAGCTCGTACCCTTTTTTTTTGCTTTTGCGACTGGGATGTGTCGATCGGATTCCTTGGTGATGGAGTTGATGGAGACGATGGAGACCCTGAATATGGAGTACAGTGACAGAGGTGACGCTTGGGTCAGCTGTTGCGTGCAACTGCCAATTTACCAAAATCCCAGTCTAAGCGAGATTGGGTTGAGTCCTCCCGAGGTTTGTTCGTTGGAAAACAAGGCACTCGAAAGCGAAAGAGCATGCAGACGCGAGAAATGGGTCTCGTCCTGCCTTCTGTTGTCGTTGTTTGTTTCCCTTGTTTACGTCGCAATTCTCTTCTGCGGCCTTCTGAGCGCACAGCCGCTCCGTGCCTTCGGTGATGGCCGGTTTCGGGTGACGGCGATCACAGCCGTTTCGTGCCTCCTGAAAGATATTGAACAGAGGAGATGGCTGCCTGCTTTGTTTTGCAGCCGGTCGTGCCTTGGCCGGTTTGCCGTTGACGTTGGCGCAGCTGTTGGGTTGGGCGTGCTTACGTTGGGTAAGACGAGGCTTTGGCAAAATGCGCAATGCATGCACAGAAACGAGACCCCATCGACGTGTTTATATAGGCCTGGCTTGCAACGGAACATTAGGCGGCGATGGTGACGAGGCCGCGATGGCGAGAATCAGGTTTGGAAGGCATCTCGGAGTGTCACAAGATCCGACATGCCTATCAAGCAATCAGGTCGCGGATGAGTGGCCTGGCTGAGTGAAGCATATGAAGAAAACGTGTAGATAAGATACCGTCCTGGAAACAAGAGACGTGAACGGGCCTATCATCGCAAAAGCATCGCCGAGGCTGCTGCAGCGCTGACGTCGTCTCTTGGATTCTTGGGACGATTTAGGGCCATGCAGGAGGAATTCGTGCGAATCCGTACATCCTCTTCTGTTTTTTCGCCACAAGTTAACCGTTTGTGGCCACTTGCGCTCTCAAGATGCGACGCTTTAGCAGGCACCCGTCATGGCAGCGGCAAAACGCCAGACGCCGACATAGTGGTGCCCCGGGCTTCCGAGCAGGTGGCTGACGCGGATCTGTGTGATGCGATTCGCTCCTTCCCGTTCCAGACAGGACTCCGGACGAAACAGAATACACACCACAGTTGCGGAAGGCACGCTCACATAAAGTGCCATCTCTCACTCTGTATTACTCTATATCCGTACGACGAAGTACTTACTCTTTTTCTTTCATCCACCATACCCCATCCTGGAGTGCTCACTTTTTCGCCTCCCTTCCCGCTCGTTCCGTCGGTGGTGCGCGGGCACCATTTTTAGTGCGGCACTTGCGGGCACTTATGTACATGGCCTTGTGTCGTTTCGCGCAGTTCGCTTTCTCGTTCTCATATTTGTACACAATAGTCGTCCCCAGCCACGCCATTTTGTGACGACAATCGACTATTGTCTTGAGTGAATCGAGATGCTGCTGTTCAACCCCATCCCTTGTCTGTGAAGAAACGCACGCACATGATCATGACGCACATTCCCAGTGAAGGTTGGGAAACCGAGGGGGTACCAATAGGGGACCGACTGGGGAGGGAAGGCCTGGACCATCACAGGCCTGGACCCAGCAAGTACAAGCAGCTTGTGACCGCTAGACCACTGGACCACTAGAGCTCCAGAGCCAATGACAAGGTGAGCCACTGCAGTCTGTAACCAGCACGAAGCCTTGCAGAAAAGTGGCAAGTGGTGAGAGTGAGGGGGGCCGAAGTACTGCTTCGTAGGGACGGGGAAATAGTGTGCGGCGTAACCCCGTCGTCCCTCCGTATTACTCCGTGCATGAGAGACCTTTTCCCAACATTTGTCACTTTTGTGCCCATATGATAATTTCGGCATCCACAGTACCAAAATCGATTACGTTTGACAAAAAGCACAAAGCGGAATGAGGACATGGCCTCAATGAGCAAGTTGGGGCAAGTTGTCTCGCGGTTAAAGACTTGTTGATGTTGGAAATGAACGAAAGGAGGCTGCACCCGGAGAAATAAAACAGAAAATAAAATAGAGGATCCGTCCATGATGTACTTTGATGAGCTCGACGTCATAGCCCTCATGCATTGTTGCTTCCTCTTTCTCTCGTCATTCTTTGGTAGCAGTGCTCCATGCATCGACGCTCGCTCATGCAGTTGCAAGGATCCGAATGAGGGCATGAATTCCACGAGGGGGGGCCATCCAGGCGATTCGAGGAAAGAAAGAAAAAAAGTGCACAAATCTGCATGGCTGGGGTAGCAGGGAGGTTCGCTAAACCCGGTGGAGGCGTTCGGGTGCCTTCAAATGCAAACACGAAAGGCCACGATTTTGGTTGATTTGCGCTAAAAAGCGGAGAGCAGATGGGAAAGGATGGTCCCGGGGTGGGTAGCTGCAGCCAAAAAGGTCACGGCACGAGGGCACTAACGCACTCTGCAGGAGGGAGAGGCGCCAAAACAGGAAAACTGAGGCATGGAGTGGGAAGGCTGGAAGGCTGGGAAGGTTCCTTGTACGATGTAGGTCTTTGGTGCTTTGTCTGGGGTACAAACCTGCAAGACAATCTCGTTCCATCCAGTCTCCATCTCGTCCCATCTCGTCCCATCGTGGTGTGTTCTCGCCCTCCAATCAATTTACTCGAGATGAAAATCGGTTCCGTGTTCCGCACCAGCCTTTCTTCCCCCTTCCACTTCGCTTTCACTTTACCCGGCCAAGAGGAAGGCGAGCAAGGCCAGGCGATAGTATTTGATTGACGACACGTAGGAAGTACTCGAAAGTACAGCAAATGTACTCTGTATAGGTTCTAGACAGGCACAAGTCGCGTGAGTTGGTTCACAATATGTTGTGGTCACGAACGCCTCCTCTGGCGGCACGGTGATATGGAGCTGTCTCTCCGATTAGAAAATGGCAGGTGAACAAATGGCGTACGGAGTAGAGTGGTTCAGACAGTTTTGAGGGAGAACGAGACACAAGAAGCGAGAAAGCAAACGAACGCACCGCCCGACAAAGTGACTTGTACAGATAATAAATTAAAAAAAAAAAAAAAAAAAAAA